CTCTGCCTGAAAAGTAGATTGGCACATGCTCTCTTATTTTTCAAATTAGTCATGCCAGCTATGCATAAAAGAGCTGGAGCAAAAGCATTCCATGTCCGTTGTTAAGTGTTTTATTTTCCAGACTAAAAACTGAGTGCTTGCAGCTTGTGTGTCATTATATGCTTGTCATTCCTAATTACTTTCTGGCATGTTCCTGAGAATGTTTTAGTCAGGAGAATATATTTCATCAGTTTTTTTTAAACACAGCTGGAATGCCTGGAGAACTAGGCTAACATATATATATATATATATTCTATAAGGTGGAAAACTAATTGGAGAAAAAAATGTGTACATACTAACTTATTTCTTTCTGAAAGAGTAACTTGCTTTGTCTTTTATAATCAATAGGCATTTTGTCCTGAAGAAATGGGACTGTTATGTTTCATAATTGAAAATTAATTATTAAGCATATTTGATTAATTTCAGAGAGTATAAGTGTGTGATTTTTCCTGCAGGCATTCTATAGTCAGCATGTTTTACCAAAGTAAAATCTGGTGTTTGCATACCAGATTCTTTACACACAAATTCATAAATGCACATGTACAGAGAAGCAGATTTGCAGTTTTGACCTTTGAGATACACTGCCAGCGAGCTGCAAAAACTCTTCTGAGGCTGGTGGTAAACAGAAACTGCTTCAGTGAAAAACTGAGTTTCCCAGATGGCATTTCCTTTGCTTCCTCGAATTTTATTCTGTCTTGACTGCCAGTTGCAAGCTTGATTACCCTGACAATGTGCTGGAGTATCAGGAGTCTGTTGTCTCCCAAAAGAGCTGCGGTTCCTGAGTCAGAAGGTAAATCTTCAGAGTCACCACAGCGAGGAGTGAGGCAGCTTTGTGGAGTGTGTGTCAATACTCAGGACGCTGAGGAGAGATTCAGATATGAAATGCATTCGAAGGCTGTGGCCAGATATTAAAGGCAAACGTTCTTTGCATGATGGATTGATTGAAGAGGCTCTTGTTTCTCTGCTGTGGTGCTGCAGCCCGTGCAGTGATGTGGGCTGCCCGAGCTGCCTCCCCTGGCTGCCAGCAGGCTTTTCACTGGGCTGGTGCCACTTGTCCCACAGCTGCTAGGTAGCAGGAGAGGTTAGGAGCCCGTGGCAGGGGGTGGCCATCTCATGGGGAAGGCAGCAGCTTACAGCCAGATCAATTTTGGCCAGGCATGAAGATGCCTTTCAAGCCAGCCTTGTTGCAGGACTGGAGCTGGAGCTTTGGGGCAGCTGCAGCCCTGGACCCACATGGCATGGGGATCTGCCCTCAGGCCATGTTTGTCCAGGGACCCAAAGGCTTGTACATCCAGGGACAAGCTCTTTGAAAACTTTGCTGCCAGGGTGTTGCAGTGAAAGGCAAATCTTGGGCAGGCATGGGTTTCCACCTTGAGCAGGTAGGAAACGTGACCTAATGGTGACTTGTCTGTCTGGGCAATATCAGAAGTTTGCTAAAGTTGCTGAAGGGTACTCACATGATGTAATATTAAGTATCTGCACTAGATACCTGAATTACCTCCTGCAAGGACTATACTGACAATGATAAGCTAAGAAGACCTTAATTTCAAGCACCTCAGGTTAGTGCCTGCTCTTCAGTGGTATGTGCAGAATTTCCCTGGCATACCCCATCTGCTGTGATAAACAGGAGCAAAGACTCCTGCCTCAGGTGACAAGAATTTATTACCAATACAGTGTCATAGCCATAGTTTTCAATTCAGTCAACTATGCTGAACAAATATTAAGATACTTGCCCTGAAGGACTGGCAGGCAGCGTTTAGGAATGGCAGGATAATTTACTGTGTTGAACACAACAAATACAGTCACACGCAGCTGCTCCGCATGCTGATTACTTCTGCTTTTAATATATTTTTTGTTGGCTTGATGCCTGCTGAAATCTGACACTCACGAATATCGATTGTCTCTTTGTGCTTTGATAAAATAGCTGTAGGAAAATATTTTTCTGAAATCTGAGGCTTTAAGGGAATTTTATGTAGTCTGATGAGGTAGAACAGTGAAGGAATCTTTGAATATTTAATTTAGAGAGGAGATAATTAGTCTCTTCTGTGCAATGAAGTATATAAGCTTTTCATTATAAGATTGCCTCTGACTGGATGAAACAATGTATTTTTTTTTTTTCTATAAAAAGAAAGTTTTCACTAAACCAAAACAGTTAATATTTTTTGGGCTGAATTAGACAAATAGTTTCATCTCCTAGGAGCAGCTGAAACTGTGTAAGTCCAACATGCTGGACTGGTTAAACACATTTTAAATAAAAATCAACTTTTCAGTCTGAAGCGTGATTTTAATGAGTTGAAAACTGCTAAACAAAAGTAATTTCAAGTAAATTAACACAGTAAGTTAAAATATTTTCAAGTGTATTCAAATAAATGCAAATAGTTTTGTATTGCATAAAATTATAGTAGTTGACTAGAAATAAAAATTAAGTCTTTTGTAGAATTACGTATCAATGTGGATGGAACCAACTGAATTATTTTTGGTCACAGCAAAAGGATCTGTTATCGAACTGGTTTTTGCTGTTAGGGTAACTGCTGTCAGTGTTTTTTTCTAGAGAATCTGGTGTTCTCACAGTGTTCATGAAGATAACAGAATGCCTTGAGACAGATCAAATTTGGCTAGAGGATTAACAAGCTGTTCAGAGAGCACCTTTCCTATGAAAACAGGTTCAGAGAGTTGAAGTTGTTCAGCCTGGAGAAGAGAAGGCTGCAGGGAGCCCTTACAGCAGCCTTCCAGTACCTGAAGGGGCTACAGGAGGGGAGGGGCTTTTTGCAAGCACTTGTAGTGAAAGGACAAGGGGCCTTTGAACTGGAAGAAGGGAGATCTAAGTTAGATGTTGGGAAGGAATTCTTCACTATGAGGATGGTGGGACACTGGCAGAGGTTGCCCAGGAAGGTTGTGGATGTCTGTTCCCTGGAAGTGTTCAAGGCCAGGTTGGATGGGGCTCTGAGCAATCTGGTCTAGTGGAAGGTGTCCCTGTCCAAGGCAGGCCAGTTGGAACTATATGATCTTTAAAGTCTCTTCCAACCCAAAACATTCTGCTATCCAATGATTATTTACTGATGCCAGGTATTGATTGTGCAAGATAATAGTTGCTGATAAAGACTGCAGTGGACATGAGGCTGCTGATGCCATGGTAGGCACAGAGTGGGCACACATCCCTGTCCTTGAAGAGTTTGCAGGATGGAAAACTGTTACCCCTCCTGTGGATGGGACAGGGGAGCCCCAGAGCCCTGCAAACTGAGCTCCACAGAGGGTCTGCAGCACTGCAGGGTTGCTTTGCTGTTTTTAATTACCTAGCTGGAAAGTATTTACAAAACCTTCTTCACTGCAGTTGATGCTCAGGGCATCACAGCAATTGCACCGAGCAGCTCGTCTCTGCTTCCTCCACAAGAGCCTCTCCAGACTGCAAGGCTGTGTGCTTGCCTCCCTCCTTCCACTCCCCCAAATGTCTCAAATCTCTTCTGTAAGCCTAGTGCCACTCTATAAACCTGTTTCCACTGGTCAGATTTTCTGAACTTAAGGTCTTCCTTGCACTCTTCTGTGTGGTCTTTGGTTGGGCAGCAGCCTTGGAAAGAAACAGGAGCCCAAAGGCAAAGTGGAGTTTAGGAGTGCTTGGTTAGGAGTGCTTCTGTCTTGCCTGTTATGTTGGTCAGTGTTAGAATATGACACTCTGACATTTAATCTTGGAATAAAGCAATGAGAAAACTGTCTTGAGTAATGGGAAATCCATAGATGTTGGCACTTTTTTGTATGTTTTTTGTTTAAACACTGCCTCAAATAAATACATCTTAGGAGAATCATAGAATGCCAGGTTGGAAAGGACCTCAAGGATCATCTGGTCCAGCCTTTCTTGGTAGGAACACTGTTTAGATGAGATGGCACAATACCTTGTCAGGCTGAGTCTTGAAAGTGTGCACTGTTGGGGAATCCACCACTTCCCTGGGGGTATTATTCCGATGTCCAACTATTCTCATAGTGAAAATTTTCTTCTGATGTCCAATCAGGATCTCCTCAAGAGTAACTAGCACCTATTACCCCTTGTCTTTTCCATGTGACTAATTGTAAAAAGGGAGCGTCCATCTTTTTGGAAACCACCCTTTAAATACTGGAACATGGCAGTAAGGTCTCCCCTAAGCCTTCTTTTTTCAAGGCTGAACAAACCCAGTTCTCTCAACCTTTCCTCATATGGCAAGCTTCACAGTCCTTGGTTCATCTTGGTGCCCTTCTCTGGACTGAAGCATCAGACTGAAATGTGGTTTAGTGAAATACACAAAATCCATCTTTATTTCCAGGTTAGGAGTAGACAAAAAAGGTTTTGCTGAGAACCTGTACAGATTTGCTGTGTTCGCATGACATTGGTACCCTGCTGCTGACACTGTCAGAGCAAATGCTCAAAGTCCTGTTTGCTTTTTGGTGAGTAAAGATTCTGGCACTGCTTCTTCTTTTTGTGGATTAAGGTGATAACTGTTGTAGCCAAACTAAGGTTCTGGCAGTAGAGTTTCTCCTTTGGCCCTAACTGCTACTTTAAAAACTGCCAATAGATCTCCTAAGCTGGCAGGCTGGTTCTCTTCAGCTAGAGAGTGAGCCTTTCTAAGATCTTTTGTTCTCCCTGAGGCTTGTTGCAAAATGAGAATGTTCCCTTTGTCTCTGGCAGCTACTCAGGTTTGTAAACATTGTTAACCAAAGTAATACTGAGTTCATATTCCAAAATACTTGGAATCTGGTTGTTGACTTTTGGGTGCACAGGGCTATTGCTCTCACTCCACAGTTTTGCCCTTACACTTCCGGCTGATCCCTGTACACAGTTTTCTTGTTTATTCCCTTTTCTGTCAGAGGGCTTGTTCCTGGAAAATCGAACGTGAGTACAGTTTCCAAATTGTGCTGAGGGTGATGGTTCTCTTTGGCTGTGAGAGCGCTTGGTAGGGTGGATAGTGGACATTCTTCACCTTACTGATTGTTTTAGCACTGTGGATGGAAATATTTAAATTACCAGAGACGATGAATGGATGGGGCACTCACCTAGAGTGGGAGATTGGCAGGTAGGACATGGATGTGGGGTTCATCTGGGAGCTTGTGCCTGTAGGGCAAGTGGGAAGGGGTGGGAGGGGCTGTGGCTGGCAATACTTGCCATCCTGACCTTCACCCACTGTCTTTGGCACCCCCTGCACCCCTGTCCTTCCTTTTTCTTTCACTTGGATATCACAGCTTCTTTCTTCCTCTAAAGCTGACCTTGGCTGCACGTGTGCTGAATGGTGAGCTCGCATTGAACAGCCTGCTGCTGTGTCTTGGCTGGGCTCCCAATCCAGGTGCTGGATTATTTTAGTTTTTAGTTGGCTTTTTTGGTGGTTTTGGGGGGATGGGAAGGACTGAAGGCAGTGCTGGATTAAAAGGAGTGGTTTGCAGGTACTTGGAAGGTGGAGCTGTTCAGTATTGAGAAATTATGTGTTTTTTATTTGTACAGCTTTAATCAATTTGCATTCCATTTTTACCGTGCCAGCTCAGATATAATTACTCCACACTATGGGTTACTTAAATGAGTACTGTATATGCAAGGGAACGTCTTAACCTGCTAAATGAATCACATAGAGAAAGTTAATGCTATTTGTATTTAATTAAAAATTTGCAAATCAGGCAGGAGGGAAGAGCATACACAAAAGCAATGTTGCCCTTTATGTTCAAGCTAATCAAGGGAAGCCTGTTGTCTTTTTGAGAAATTATCAGTATGAACTTCTGCTGCAGCCAATTGACTGTAATAAAGGGGTTGATTTTTTTTTAAATTACACTGTCCAGTTGATTAGTGTGAAATTCAGTAGTGTTAAAAAACGGCCCTGATCAGGGGTATAACCTCCCTTTTCTGGTTGGTCCTGCTTATTTCTTGATAATGTCATTTTCAGAGGGTTGGAATGGGGGCACTGAAAAGAGCTGAATATATATATAGCAAGGTTTTTTTTCTGTCTCTTTTACTCCCTTCTATACCTCAGTGTCTATTTAGCACTTTGCTAGAGATTTGATCTTAGACATGATGCTATAAAATACCTTTAAGCATTTCATTTTTAAAGAAATGCAGTATGCTGTTACCTTGATTTTAATGAAAGTTTATAGCCTGCTTTGTTTTCTACACAATTTTGCAAATGTGAATCCTTTAGGCTAGGGCCCAAGAAGAAATAAGAAAGCCCAGTTGTAAGCCAGTGTCATGAATGTTGAATGCCTGTGGTAAGCTTGGCAAGTGTTAATGCAATTCCCATCAATTCCCATTCACTGTCTCTGGTGTGTGAGTGCCTTGGCTAACTTGAAACAAAGTAGAAACAGCATCTTTCC